TTAAGACTTAGAGAGAGAGAGAGAGAGAGAGAGATGTATTAACATTGAAGAGAAAATTAACAAAAAACTAAATAAATTTTAATGAAAAACTATTCAAATTATTTTCTAATTATATTATTTAAATGTTTTTTGCAAAAACGTATAATAAATAACATAAGAATCTCATTATATTAATAGTGAAACTAATTTAAGAGATTTAATGAGTTATTCGTATAAATATTTGGCAATTAATTCAGTATTTAAAATAAAATACTGTGTTTTATTAATGAAATAAAATATATTTCCTTTTAATGATAAGACTTATTATACTTTTAATTATAATTAATAATAAGATTATTATAGATTTGTTGATATTGTAGATTTTCCATAGATTACACTAGATCAAATTAAAAACAATTTAACAAATCTTGAGTTATTACCTTACTCAATATAATAGAATGTTAGCAATTAAATAAAAATACAATTTATCATTTATTTATTGTCAAAATTGCAGACATAATACAGAATTAAAAATTCAATTATAGATTATATAAAAGTTTGCGATACAAGAGATACAAGACATTCACTGTACAAGTGAATAAAATTGTTAATGTTTAAAAATATTTAAAAAAGTATTTTTAAAATAATTGCATTAAAAATATCAATATTAAGTGTAAGTGAATTGAAGTGCGGGTTTATAATATTAATAATAAAATTTTTATAATAAATACAATTACATGTAAATCCTTATATAAAGATAAAGTAATTGCCAAACAATTGCAATGGTTTATACGATCAACACTCGTCCGGTACGGAGTGCCTTGCAATCGGGTTTAGTGTCCATATGGTTATTGGGTTTGGTTGTCGGGTGCGACTCATTTGCTTTTTTGTCCAGTAGTTGAAACACAAATTTGATGCACTGATGCGTTATGGCAATCGTTAAAGCAATCATTAATAATATTAAAACGATTATGGCCAAAATGTTGCTATTTTCCTGACACATCTCTAAAATTGTTTAATAAAAATTAATAATCACTTTCTCTAAGGACTAGAATTTTTAGCTTTTTTAGTATTCACTCACTTTAATATCGATTAATTTGTTGTATGATAACAAACTTGTTGAAAATTTTACTATTCAGTTAACACTTTTTTAACGACTTGTGTTAGACACGAATTCAATGGCTAATGAATAGTAGACTAAAATATTTTCTCATCAAATCGTTTAACACTTTTTTTCTTACAAGTATTGGTCCGGTTATGCATTGCATTCATGTGAGTCATACCTATTGTAATATTGCATTGCATTGCATAAGGATTTTATTAATGGCCATAACTAATTGACCTTATCTTAACGCAAAGCCATTTACATGTCTACATGTTTTATAAACTAACAATGTGCTAGGTCTTTTCGAGTTAGTCTATTCCATGTAAATCTGTGTGAGTGAACAATGGGTAATAGATTTTTAGCTTATTCTTATTCTAAAGAATATGTCGTACATTATTTATAACAACTCCTCCTTCAAGAATGTATGTCTGCTTTAATCTTACGACTGAACACAACTACCTTATAGTTATAAGAATTGAATATTACATAATTTTGTGAGCATGGTAAGAAATTTTTTAACGGTGTAATTGTTTTTTTTAATAGCATGGTTAAATTGCATTAAAAGAATTCAATGAAATGAAATTAATTTTAAAGATCTAATTAAGTATTTGTATACATATCAAACAATTAATTCATTATTTTAAATAAAATATTGTGTTTTATTAGTAAAATAAAATATATTTCCTTTTAATGATAAGACTTATTAAACTTTTAATTATAATTAATAATAGGATTATCAATTGATTTGTTAATATTGTAGATTTTTATAGATTACACTAGATCTAATCAAAAATAAATCGATATAATTTGATGTTAGCAATTAAATACAAATATAATTTCAATTTTAATCATTTATTTATTGCCAAAATTGCAGACATAATACAGAATTAAAAATGCAATTATAAATTATATAAAAGTTTGCAATGCAAGAAATACAAGACAATCACTGCACAAGTGAATTAAAGTATTTATGTTTAAAAATCTTTTTAAAAAAAGTATTATAAAAATAATTGTAGGAAAATATCAATATTAATATTGAGTGTAGATAAATAGAATTGCGGTTTTATAATATTGTATTAATAGTATTGTATCAATAGTAATAATAAAAGAAGTTTTTATGTTAAATATAATTACATAAAAATCCTTATATAAAAATATAGTAATTGACAAACAGTTGAAGTGGTTTATACTATAACCAGTCGTCCGGCACCAAATGTGTTGTCATCGGGTTTAGTGTTCATTTGGTTATTGAGTTTGATTGGGTGCGACTCATCTGCTTCTTCCTCATCACATTCAACGACCACAACATATGTGTCGTTAGTTTTGGCATTTGTTATATTGAGTCGAAGACGCTTTTTGGTCTCTTTCGCACCGTTAGTACACAAACACGTTATGGCAATCAGTATAACAATCAGTAATAACGATATAAGAATTATGCCCAAAATATCGTCAATTTCTTGAGGCATCTCTAAAATTGTTTAATAAAATTAATCATTACTTTCTTTAAGGACTAGAATTTATAGGATTCACTCATTTTACTAGCGATTAATTTGTCGTATAACTTGTAAAAAACTCGTTGGAAATTTTAATATTCAGTTAACACTTTTTTCTGTCGACTTGTTTTAGGCGTGAAGTCAATGGCTAATGAATGGTAGACTAAAATATTTTCTCACCAAATCGTTTAACACTTTTTTCTTACAAGTATTGGTCCGGTTATGCATTGCAATCATATGAGTCATACCTATTTGTAATATTGCATTGCATTGCATAAGAATCTTATTAATAGCCAAAACCATGGTCCTTATTTTAAGGCAATGCTTGCCTACATGTCTATAAAATACCAATGGGCTAGGTCTTTTTTGAATGTGAGTATACTATGTGTAACCTGTGTGTAAACAATGAGTCATAGATTTTTAGCCCATTCTTACTCTAAAGAATATGTCGTAAATTATTGATAACAACTCCTCCTTCAAGAATGTATGTCTGCTTTAGTCTTACGATTGAGTGAAACTTATTTTAAAGTTATATTAAGTTGAATATTACTGGACATAAGTTTGTAAAAACCATTTGAATATTCTGTATAACTTGTGGTATATATGAAGAACTAACCAGGTATAATTATTTTTAATAATGAAACTAATTATATAGATTTCTAATCAGATATTCATATAAATATTTAGCAATTAATTAATTGTTTAAAATATTAAATACGAGATAATATTTTGTGTTTTATTAATGAAAGCAAAAATATTTTCATTTAATGATAAGACTTGTTATATATTTAATAATAATTAATAATTTTAATTTTGTTAATGATATAAAGTGTATATAAAGTATATATCATTATATGATTGTCTGAACTCAACACCACTTTTCAGACCAAGTGATGGATAAATTGCGACGAGTTTTGAGTGGAGACGAGTCGGTCGGCAGCGGCGGTGATGTCAATGAACAGGGATTCGCCGCTCAGATATGGTCGGCCACATCACTCAATTGGTCCACTCGTATACAAGGCTTTGCCGTCTGTTTTGTCTTGGGTTTCATCTTCTCTATGTTGGGAATCGTTTTAATAGCGTTACCGAAAGGCTTACTATTATTCGCCATGTTTTACACGATAGGAAATCTGACATCGACGGCCAGGTATGCCAGTCAATGGCCCACTCAATACACTATTTAATTGATATAATTGTAATGCATTGCGAAATATGTACATTATTGTATATTAATACTTGTGGTAATGTTTAGTACCATGTTTTTGATGGGACCCTTACGTCAGATTAAAAAGATGTTTAACGAGACACGAGTGTTGGCCACTCTCGGCGTCTTTCTATTCATGATTTTAACCCTTGTATCGGCCCTTTGGTGGAAGAGAGCCCTTCTGGCCGTTATCTTCTCTATTCTTCCGTTCCTGGCCTTCACGTGGTATGCATTCATCTCTTATATCGTTTATTTGCCATAAAATAGATTTATTTTTACCATATTTTTTTATAGGTATTCACTTTCATACATCCCATTCGCGAGAGATATTGTCCGCAAAACCATCACGTCTTGTGTCTGAATCTCATTTAATGTTTAAATATATGGCTTTTTAATACAATTATTATAATAAACATACAATCCTTTTGTGTTTTATTTTTGCGATACAATTGAATATTTTATTAAAAACTGTCTACACTAAATATTTAATATTGATTGTTATAGATATAATCAAAAACAATTTACAAATTTTAATTACTATATATTTATAATTAAATTTTAACAAATAAATTAAACAATAATTTCAATTCAAAACATTTATTTATTGTCAAAATTTCAGACAGAATGCAAAATATTGATAATTAAAAGATTAAATTGTAAAATATGTAAAAGTTTGTAATACAAGAAATTTCGATAAATATTGCTAATAATATTAGTAATAATAGCATTTATAACGGCTTTTCTACCCCTTTCACCACTACATCGTACACTCAAATTAATAAAATTAATAATTTTTATAAGTTATAATTATAAAAATTTATCAAAAATAATTTCATAAAAATAATCAAGATTAATATTAAGCATATTATTATTCAGATTAAATACAGTTAAATGATAATATAAAATCAGTATAAATTAAAAGTTGTTAGCATAATAGTAAATTATTTATTCTTTATGAGGCATCCAGCACTCGATAGTGATTCCCTTGAATTCAGGGTTAGTGTCCATTCGTTTGTCATCGAGTTTAGTGGCCATAGGGTTGTCATCGGGTTTAGTGTCCATAGGGTTGTCATCGGGTTTAGTGTCCATTTGATTGTCGACGTTTACCACGACGTTTGTGCCACATTTCTCTTCATGGTATTTACTAATGATGTCCATTACTTTTAGATTAGTGAGCACGTCATTAACTAGGTTATCGGGAATCGTTACACGCCATTTTAGTGACTTTTTCAATTCATTAAACGCGACCAAAATTATCCCGAGACAAAAAATGACAAATGCCGATATTAATAAGCCGCTGATTGATGCGATCACATTTATAATCCAGGTAATAATTTCCCAAAACATTGTTAATGTCACTATTTAGTGAGAAAAGTTTGCTGAGAATTTCACTTTTTATAATAACGACAAAATTTGATTTCACTTTTTAAACTCTAACCTATTCTCCGGTCTGACTATAACTGATGATAAGGTGTGTATGTTTTGCGTAATTCTTTACATACTTCACAATATGTATATTCAGTTAACACTTTCGTTAGTCGACAGGTATTTCTATGGCTAATAATTATTGGTCTAAAATTTGTACCCATAGTATGTGTAAAGTTTTTCCCTGTGGTTCCTGTTGTGCATTGCATTCAATTGTGTAATATTATTGCAATCGTTGATATTTTTAATGTAAACTTCAATCGTTAAGCATTGCATTAATGGCCATAACTGGCGCTAAAATATAAGTATATCTATAAACTAAGAATGTGTTATATGTTATAACATATAACCTATGACTCACTGTAAACTGGCACAGGTAAGTAGTGAACAGCGCAAACAGCATTTGGGCCCATTCTTACACAGGAATATGTAGTAAATTATTTCTAACACCTCCTCCTTCAAGAATATACAGTATGTTTACGACTAAACACAACTGTCTTTATAGTTATGAAAATTTAATATTACATAATTATGTCAAATATGATGGTAGGTAATTTTTAACCATAATTTAATTATGAAAAATGTGGTTTATTTAACTGTGGTCAAATTGTATTAAACGTTAGATTAATTTAAGAGATTTAATGAAGTATTTGTATATTAATTTGACATTATTTACAATATAATATTGTGTTTTATTAACGAAATAAAATATATTCTCTTTTAATGATAAAAATTATAATACTTTTAATTATAATTAATAGTAAAATTATTAATTTATTTATTAATGATATAAATTTTGCATAGATTACAATCGATATAATCAAAAACAATTTAACAAACTTTGAGCCGGGACAGTTTAAAAATAATTACCAACACGTATACGCTATTAACAATTTAATGAGTGTTTTGTTATTTTGTGTGCAAATACTGTATTAATCTCTCACTTGTTTGACATTCAATTAAATTCAATATAAAATAGTGTCTAAAATGGGATGTGTTTTTTAAAATACCATTTGAAAAATAGTGGTAAAAATCGCTTTGAAAAGTCTTGTCTTCGTTGTCACGAGAGAGAGAGAGAGAGAGAGAGAGACCATATTTTAGAGGATTTGTAGTTTTAAACTATATTTTTGTCAAATAAAAAATATATTAAATTTAAAAAGTAGTTGTGTTTTGTGTTCAGAGATATATTTTTACGTTCAATAGGTTTTTGTTTGACAGCATTTAATGACATGACACTAACAACACTATAAATTGAAAAATACTTGTTATAAAATGTTATTATTATTATTATTCTTACTATTATTTTGTGTGTTATTTATTATTGTATAGCATTTGTCGGACGACAAGTAGTGGCAGAATATATTTCATACAAAATACATTACATTGTAATTCAAATTTTGCTGTTTTGTTTTGATCTAGCTATGAGTTTATATAAAATTTTATAATAATCTATGTAGGAATATATCAGGATGTCATTGATAATGGTAACACATAAATTATTAGTGCATTCATGTATAGATAGGGTGAAAATATCGACGACATTAGCGTTGATATAATGTTTAAAAACAAATAATATTTATTATAAAATACATTTTTGTCGGTGAAATATATCGGTTCGCACCACAAAATATACCATCATTTTTGTTGCGATACATTATAAATATTATATGTTTCATAATATATTATAAGCTCTCTCTCTCTCTCTCTCTCTCTCTCTCTCTTTCTTTCTTTCTTTCTCTCTCGTTAGTGACAGCCCTTAAAAACTGGAGATGACATCCATTTTTCTTCACATATATATTATTATTACATAACATATCTATCATAAACTCAGTGTTACGTTAGGGGACTGGTAGGGAACGGGTAGTCAATACATGCATAATACATGTGCTATTTATGTCATAACATCTAAACGCTACAAAAAAACTACATAGTGTTTTTTCTCACTCTCGGTTAAACATTAACATCTAAATTGTTATTACCCGTCAAAAAATATATAATATCAGGCAAAAACGTTTCGGTGAATACATCACACAATTACAATTAAATACTTGTACACTATATAACGTAGTATATACTGTGCATATTACTAATAGTGTATTTTTACCCCGAAAAAAATTGTTTTACTTTTTTTTCACTCTCTTAGGATATAAATGCAGTTTTTCTCTGTCGATGACTTTGATTATACGGTTTGGATATTCATTCACACGTTTAGAGAGAGAGAGAGAGAGAGAGAGAGAGAGAGCTTATAATATATTATGAAACATATAATATTTATAATGTATCGCAACAATTTTTAAGGGCTGTCACTAACGAGAGAGAAAGAAAGAAAGAAAGAGAGAGAGAGAGAGAGAGAGAGAGAGAGAGCTTATAATATATTATGAAACATATAATATTTATAATGTATCGCAACAAAAATATTTTACACCGGGAGGTATCCGAGGGGTCGACTATGATATACATGGAAACACTTGGGCACAAATGTGGCGATGAAATGATGGGTAAAATGTATTGAAAATAACTATTCAAGAAATGGTTTTAAAAGACACCGAGTGTTAAGTCATAACAAAAAATAAAACCAAAAATACCAATAATAATGATAATAATAATAATAACTAAATATAATACTACTTGTAATGATAGTTAACCTTTAGTTAACACTCCGTATATATATTTTTTGTGAGTTAAACATTCTTCACAGTCTCTCTTGAATACTCTCTCAATATTATTTGTAAGAGAGAGAGAGAGAGAGAGAGAGAGAGAGAGAGAGAGACTTGAAAGGTAAAAACTATTACCATCTAAAATTCATTTAATTCATCTCTCTCTCTCTCTCTCTCTCTCTCTCTCTCGCTCTCTCACTTTGGCGGTCCGTCAACTTATAATTAAGGGGTGAATCCACTCAATTTGAGGGCCCCTTTGAGCCTACCTTTGCCTCCATCTCTACCCTCTCTATCGCAACAACACTAATAACAGGACTCATTCCCGACCGACGATCAGCCAAACAAACGGCTCAAAACACTTCATATATATTCACATCATATTTATTAATGAAGACGTTTTCAGCATGTATTACACGTAGAGGTCTACACATCCGACAATATTCATACAACTTATATTATTAATATTACTATATGGTAATAATTACCATGCAGTATTCATAGCGTTTAATTGTACCAAATGTGTTTTGATAATTTAGCTTGATGTTTTATCCTAATGAATAGGTTATTAGTTTAATTATAAAGTTAGACTTTCTTTAGTATTTTTATTAAAAAGAAAATTTGATGATTATTTTATGCCCTGATTATACTGTGCCTACTGTTCCCCTGATAACAGTCCAGGAAGTTGTTGTATAAAATGAAAATTGAATCAAATATTCAATTAAAAACTATGGTCAATATAAATAGTAACAATACATGATATATAATATAAGAAATCGTAGATGTTATATAAACTTTACATGTATAATAGTATGAATAGATAAATATATAGGTAAATTCTTTTAGCTCTCAATTAAATACACACTGTATTTAAGTGTTAGAGAGAGAGAGAGAGAGAGAGATTGTGCATGTTTTTGGAAATACCACTTTATTATTGTACCACCATCATCATTATTATCAAGTATAAGTTTTTTATATATAATAATAATCAACAATAATAATAGTA